TTAGCTGTCACATAAATGTGATGAAGTGAAAAGTACAATAGTTTCCTCTGAAATGTGGATTAGCAGCAATAGGGTAGCATAAAATGCTAAACTGGGACATGCTGCTTGCCAGAGTACTCTGGTGAAAACCAGGATATTGTGGCATGTATACACTCTGTCTAGATTGGATATGATGTTACATGATGTAATGCTGACAGACACGCTGAAGTGAATGGAAGGTCGGATTTGACATAAATTGCATTACTGCTTGTTTTCCATTACAAATGATTGGATGGAGAAGCTGAATCCTGCATAGTGGTGAATGCACACCTGCACAGAAATGATCACAAACCTGGATACTGTTATAATCCAATAAACAGGGACATGAATGATCACATTTCTCAAATACAAGCTGTAGCCAATCATGATTAACACTTTGGCTGGGTGTGAGTGTTAATCCTGGAGTATCTCGTTGGGCCCCTTTCCACTAAAACAGAGATTTCCCTCTAAATTAGTTTCATATAAATAACTGTTTGAGGCCCAAGGAGATCGTATTACACAATATTTTGCCTCAAAAATAAAGATTAGAGTGATATGACGAAATCTAAAAATGTCATTAATAGCATGTCACTTAAAGGGGGCAGAACAATCACTTCTGCTTTTACATACATGGGATTTGTGGGTGTAATAGAGTATTTTTACACTACAGTGAGAACTATTTGGTGTTATAAGTGCTTTCTGTAATATACTTAGTGATATAGCTATATAGCCTTATGTCAAATGTTTGCCAGCGTAGCGCAACCTTGAAATGATCCATTGTGATGCAATTTGTTGACAGATTTACCTTCAAAAGTTAACTTTGATATAGCAATGCATATTAAATTGTGGTTCTCGTGGGGCTGCTGCAAATCAGGCTGTATTTATACCTGAAAAATCTACTTCTGATGATGATATATCAGCTAATATTCTTATCTAACATTATATAGTCTTAGCTGTTATTATTCTTGTTATCCTTCAACCTGGACCCCTTATTCCTATGTTTTTGTGTCCAATGGACTAATGGGAACAGTATTGAGTGAGGGGGCAGCTGCCAGCAGCCACGAAAGAGGCTTCAATGTAAACACTCAGGGCATGTTTGCACTGTCAATTTATGTCCATTAAAGGGCTTGTTTTGCCACTGACAGGCTCAGAATTTAATTTTAAGTGTTTGACAACATTATGGAAAGGATCTCTTAAGAGACAGACCTTTTGTTTAACTAGAAATGGCCCTGAAGTCGCGATCACCAAAGCCACCACACTCCATTAAATAAACAGTAATTTTAGCAGGTGTAGAGCCAGCGTATTTTCACATCTAACTGCATGTTTTAAGGGTTTATTTCAATCAAACTGGAGTTGGTGATTGTTGGAACAGTGAAAAGATGAATCAAGACGGCTTTAGTGAGTTTCATTTTGCTTCTGTCATCTCTGAATGAAGTGAGATTTATTATGATAAAACTGCTGTTTATTTAAATAGAATCTGGTGGGTTTGGTGATGGCGATTTCAGGGATGTTTTTGTTGCAATGGTGCTTTTACGAGTACCACTGAAATACAGTGAGTACCCCTTGGTGTTGTAAGTCCTTTTTGTAACTTGCTCAATGGGCACTAATTAGCCAGAATACTAGCATGAACAAGAATAATGAATTTGAAGGAAAAAACTACTTATAGTTATATATATGTATTGACACTGAAACAATATTGTCATTGTATGTGGACATTCTACAAACCAACAACTCAGTTGCCATTTTGTCTTTATAATTTACACAAAAAGCCATCTGACTACTGGAGGGTGCCACAAACACCCAACTGCAAGTGCACCATTAGAGGTTTATAACAAGTTGCAGGGCTGTCTGTTACTGTATAGCCATGATTTCAATAAAGCAAAGCTTATAGGCTGTACAGTTGTAGTACAAGAATGTCTGTAATAGGGCGAATCAGTGGGAAAACTGTTACAGAACCAAGGTGTATTTCGAAGGACCTTTTGAAGGCATGAGGAATCTGTGATGAGCCCTAATTGGCTGGACGGTTAGAAGCTGTGGGATCAATCCTACTCCTGGAGGTATACAGATCAATAAGCAGCATGGCTGCTCTAGTGAAGTCTCCAACTATCTGAGGCTTCTCAGGCTGAAAGCAAAGTTATTACACACATTTTAATCTCTGTTATTTTATGATAATCATCTGTGTTTTTAATTGTTTCAGGTTGACTGTGGGAATATTCCTCCAGCATGATATTTAAATCCTTAACCTTCATTCTCTCCTGCTGTGATTCATTATAGAGTGAGTTTGCCTGCATCCTTTATTGGGACTGTAAGTGCAGTGTGTAGGCTTGTGTGTGCATCTCTCTCTGTGTGAGGGTGTGTATTTGTATGTGTGAAACCTAATCTAATACAAACAGACACACCTTTTCATCCTATTTCGCTCTCATACTCAAAGTCTTAGACATTCCCCTCCCTTTTACTCCACGCTCTTTCGCCACACCATGTAACAAACACACACACACACACACACACACACACACACACTGACACGCAGACACATACACAGACACACAAACACACAAATCCATCCACACTGATGCACACGCTCACACACAAACACATGCACACCCTCCCAGTACCCCATCTCCTAGGGAACACAGGGATGTCTCTATGGCAACAAGCAGCTTGCTCCACTAATGAACCGGTTGCCGTGGCGACCGGGTTGGCTGTGCGCAAACGGAGACACTGAATAAAATAGAGGGAGAAAATGTTATGTTACTCCTCTGCACAAAACCCCCGTGCAGGGTTTTATCTCTGCCTTTGTAGGACACACACACACACACACACACACACACACACAGAAACGTGTATGTGCATGCATGTAAGAGATTAGGATGAGTGACAACGACTGAGCGAATGTTCTGGGTTAGAAGACGTATTGGCTGGAGACAAGAGCTTGTGCAGTAATGCAGTACGAAGCAGGGATCCTTGCAGCTGGCTGTACTGTGCATGGGCCAATCATCCTCCTGCTGCTGCCTCAAGGTCAGAGAACAACCTGACTCCACTCTGGGCAAGGAGAGGGAGAGAGAGAGGAAGAGAGAGCACTGCCAAAAACCTTCTGTCAGCCATCTTTGTTGTGAGTTACGTCCTACTTTGCTGAGTGAGCCTCTGAGCCGTTATGCGTTTGGCCATTCACGACCCCACCGGAGACACTTAAAGCTGCACCAAACTGCCATTCATACCCTCTCTGCTGACTGAGACCACTGGGAATCACCCACTTTACGCTGGGGCTGTCTCCCCCTGCTGGTTCAGAGGGGGGACAGCCTCAGTGTGCTGCAGTCATAAAGGTTGGAACATCCGCTGCCACAGGATTGCCTCTGGGACAGTGGTGACCTCTCCGAAGAATCCAAAGATAAACTTTAGGGGTCATGGTGAAATGATTTGTGGGATAGGAAATAAAGAAAAAATATTGCACTGCTACATAAAATGTATAATATTTGTCTTCCCTTGAGAAAAGGCCAATGTCTGTTTTGTAATTTCAACATATATTAAAATGAAACCAGTGGGGGGAAATGTTTTTTACTAAAGTTGCCATTTCAACATTCTGAAAATACTCTATCACAAGTAAAAGTCTAACAGCCAAAATCCTACTAAAATGCACAGATGCAGAAAAAATGTATCTGTGAATAATACATTGCATATTTGATCCTTAAAACTGATGCATCAATGTTTGAAATTTTACCATTGCAGCTGGTTGAGGTGGAGACAGGTGTTTTAGTCTTGAGGTTTCTTGCAGAGGAGTTGGCCTCCCTCCAAAGTTATGTTTTGAAGATAACAGCTTTGAACAGTTATTTAAATAAAACCATCTGACAAGGTTAAAGAAGAAAGCTCTCTATGGTAGAGCTGCTAACAACTCAGAGACTGAAACAAGATCTGAAACATGGCAACTAAGAGCCCCAACTAGACAGTGCTCTTTAGTAAGGTGTCACAAGCCCAAAAAATTAAAAACCATTGCTTTAGGACAGAGAGAGTTAGTTAGTTTACAACCCAAACGCTTAAATAAATGTTGGCATAATACGTGCAAACCATGGATATGTTACATTTGTATGTTGTTATGTAGCAGATAAGTTGAAACTTTAGGTTTCGGCAACGCTGTGGATACCATGTAGTTATTGTGCCTTAGGTTTGGGCATAAAAAAACACTTTGATATGGTTAGAAAAAAATCATGTTTTGGCTGAAAATACCTGTTTCTAGTGGCAAAAAAGCAGTTGGAAGGCGCAGTGTTGGCATTAAGAAACATAGCAATGTCTTGGTAAAAAACAACAACAAACAAACAAAAAAACAGGTCTTTGCAGGACTATCCCGACAGAAAACACAGCCATGTCTGGATAAAAAAAATCACTCACATTTGGTGGCTTAAAAGCTGTTTTATTGATTGTTGATCTAGAACAGTGCTCTGCAGCCTGACAGGTGTCTCACCTAAGTGTCATGCCATCCACCATCCCCTCCACCTTCCAGTGACAAAGTCAGCTCATACAGTATGTCACTTTAGAAACGATAATTTGGTTTGTATGAAATGTGTAAATGTAACATGTTGCAGAAACGTTTTTGTTCAGATGAACTAAAAGTGATCAGGTTGTTTCTATCGTGGCCTCTAGTGTCTTTATTGATGCAAACAATGAACTGAGTCTGGCTGCTTCTTTATTATCCTTAAAGTCAGTTATTAAAATTCTGTTTCACTGACTTGCTTTTGATGGCATTATTATTCATAACTTATTGTTGACTGCACTTTTGCTGTTTTTTATATTTCTCACCTTGTTTTAACTGTTTATGTCATCAAATAATTCCTGAATCTCTTGTAAACTGCAACAGTTTTTTTCACACGGTAAATGTTTATTAATGTCAGTATTTTTTTACTCTTGACATGCAGCGTTTCCCACTTAACCACCATTTACTGCTTTATAGAGTTAAAGCTAAGCTACATCTCCCTCTGTTTCTACTGCAGAAATGTTTGCGGTTTAACCCAGACGCCACGGTGTGGAAGGCCAAGCAGCAGGTGCTGTGCTCCCTGACCGAATCTCTTCGGGACGTCCTGAACTATGGTCTGTTCCAGCCCGCCACGGACGGCCATGATGCCAAGTTCCTGGAGGAGGAGAGGCTGCTGAGAGAGTACCCACAGTCCTTTGAGAAAGGGGTACCATATTTGGAGGTACGATTCCAGTCTTCCTTTGACACAGTTGTAAGACACAGTACTACACAATAGAGAAGTGACGTAACCTTCATGTCCTCAAGATGTCAGTGTTATTCAACAATGCAATGGTCAAAATCAGAATCCAATGTGGTGGCTTTCTTTTGTTCTAAATTAACCTGTCAACCATTTGTCGTACTATGTAGGTGCCATTGGACCAATCAGTCATGCTGTACATGATATATAAAAACAGTGCAGTAGATTATGATTGTTTTGTGTGTTTTTACCATCAGATTTTTGCCTCCCATCATGTGTCTAAGGTTTTCTCTGCAACTTCTTATATTGTGCATCCAGATCCCAAATGACTGAAGTGATAAAAAACAAAGCAGCGGCTCTTAAAGGCAGTTATGACTACATCTACTGTGAATGTTCCTAGTGCTATCTAAGGTTATACCTGGATATAAAAAACAACCCCACTGGTTTATGAATGAAGTTTCATACACACTTCTTCGAGAAATGTCCCGGAACTGTTCAGCTTCCCTGCTCTGTTTAGTGCAACACCTGCTAATCTCTTATCCAGTCTGTGCAGTCACCTTCTTTTCATGCTGTATTATGACCCAGTGGAAGCTCTAAACCGTCTTTAAACTGCTGTAAAGCAAGACCATTTCTTTTACATTTCTTGTCTTCAGTGGAGTGGAAGAGGGGGTTTGTATAGCAAACCAGATAAAGCTCCTCTTCTACAATAAATCTGCAGGCCCCATTTTGTGGATCTAGGCCAAAAGCTAAGAGAATTAAGGACAAACGCCCTCTGTGTTAGGATTAACTCTTCATATCTTTTCTCCTCTTTTCTCTGGGGTTTAGTTTCGATACAAGACCAGGGTGTACAAACAGACCAATCTGGATGAGAAGCAACTGGCCAAACTGCACACTAAGGTATGAAACCCCTTTGTCTTAGTGTCGGATATCTGAAGGGTTTCAGCTGCATGCTTCAATCATATAAATGTAATGGCACAGAGTTAGTTAGCTTAAATCAGTCCTGTACAGTATGCATGTCAGTGTGAGTGTATGCATACATGCATTTGTGCATGTGTATCTGTGTATATTTCCTTTTGTTTGTGTGGCATACTGTATTATGCTGTAATGTGCGGTCCTTCGCCTTCATATACAGCATTTAAAGGCAGGAGTTATTTTGAATGCTGTGTTCACAGTATGAGCAACACAGAAACAAGCTAAAAGTAATTTTTATCCCTTTTTAAGTCCACGAATGCGCCAGTGCGTCCAAATGACATGATTGATTTAAGATGACACAAAACGCAGCCTCTTGTGGCGAAAGTGCGAACTTCAAACTATATACCAATTTTAAATTGTGTTGATAGGCCAAGTAAAACCAGACTTATGATAAATAATTTACACCATGCTTTTTCCTGAATATTGTCGTCACAACGGTAAACACGGGCTATTCTAAGGAAAGTGCTCGCAAGCAGAAAGGGCTTGCAAGCAAAAAAAAACATGACACCCCCTTTCCTATTTGTAGTGTTTTTTGTGTGATTTTAGGTTCAATGTGTTAATACAGTATGTCAAAATGAGAAAATAACCATAAAGTCACACAGGTGAGGTTGTGCTGAAAAAAATGACACCAAACAAGGCAAGGTAAACAGTTAAAATCAAAAGTAGTCAGAAACAGCCAATTATACCCTTGACCCCAAAGGGTTAATCGGAGCTGGTGACATGAAACTACAACCTGACATCGACACTTGCTGCTGAGGACAGGCAGGACGAGCTAGAAATCAAAGTTGAGTTGGCCTCAACTTTTTTTGTGCTCCAGTGACGTGGTAAAGTGCCAATCAATCATCGGTGATAATGTAGCAGGTCACACAGCATAATACAGCTGAATGTTTCTTTCTGCATGCAGGCCAGCCTGAAGAAATTCATGGATTACATCCAAACCAGCGCTGTGGACAAGATGAGCAAGTTCTTAGACAAAGGCCTTGATCCCAACTACCAGGATGCTGACACCGGTGGTAAGGAGTGCCTCAGAGCCTGAGGAACTCTCACTTCCCCTCTGTTATTTAGCATTTTCCTCAGGTCCATCCACTTCATCCACAGAGTGCTCTCTATCATCTACCCATAACAATTACACTCTGACACATCAAAATCATCACATTCATGAGATGAATAAAAAGGCTTAAAACAAGAATAGGGTTGAAGTTAATGGTGTTACTGATTTCACTTGCTACAGCTCATCTCATCCATCCATATACACTGTACATCCATCCATCTGCACACCCACATATCAGTAAATCTTTGCCTTCATCTGTCTCTCTCTCATTTATTGAATTATTCTCCCTCAGCCATATGAACACATATTTGAGATTCAACAAGCAGTTAACCATCTCTCTCAGCTAAATTAGCACACTGGCGGCCAGCAGCTTTGTGACCTGTGGCTCTGCCCGTCTCTCTCCCTCCGTTTTCTGCCCTCAGCTCTGCAGTATGTTGGCCTACCACTTTGTCAAGAATCTGGGCCAGTGCTGTTCACAATTTGGTGTCTTTTCCCAGATCCTGTTAGTGCTTGGGGGGAGCAGCAGACGGCTCATTTACAGTTTGGGTGTGTTGCTCTGTGTCACTCCAGCCGCTGAGGGAGAAACGTGTCACAACACAAAACGCAGCCTGTCGTCAAAGGTGTGAAACACACTTCCACTTCAGAACACCGGGGGGCAACAGAGAGCCCTGATGAAGCCCCCTCACCTACATGCTCCGCTCACATCATATGGGAAAGACACACTGCATGCATCTTAGACCTGAAAATGTTACTTAAGGTGGTTATTGCTACTTTGGACATCAAGGTTTGATGCTGCACCCTGGATTTTATGCTTCTGTACTAAACCATGATAATGCCAACAAAATATGGTGGGACCAAGTGCAGAAAATGATTTGATCATTCTAAATATAGATAGTATAATTAATAAATTTTATTAAATGAATTGTTTTGCTCTATTAACCTAGATTTAAAACATCAAAAGGCACTCATTTTCATTTCTTTATATGGCTTCCTCTTCTCTCTTGACTGTGAGGTTGTGTCAGGGTGTTCTGACAGTTAATCCACTCAATATTAGGTCTTAGGTATAAGGCCTGTGCAGGGCAAAGAGGTAATCAAAAGCCCTTTAGAAAAACACTCTGCTCTGTGGTCCTGGGACGAAGATATCCCCACCACACTTTCTGCATTTGACCTGCCTGTCTCTCTGAAACTCTTTCTTCATGCCTCCCCACCCAGCAGAAGGCTCACACTGAGTGCCTTTAATAGGACATAAAATGATTCAGCCATATTCAGCATGGCTCCTGTCAGTGGGGGCTCACTTCCATCTCTGCCAAGGGAACCGTTTAATGGGCATTCCCTGAGTCGTCCCGACATGGCAACTTCAGAGGAAGTGCAGTGAAAACATTCCCCCAAATTATTTGTACCTGAGCTCTACAGAAGCTGTTCGAGGATGAAAAGCCCCTCAGTCGTTTTCCTTTTTGCCAAAAACTCTCTTGTCGCTATGGCAGCCAGCACTCATACCCTGTTTTCGCTGAGAACGCTTTGAATGCTTTTATTCTTCCAGGTGCCATTGAAGTTTCTTGTTGAATTAGTTGAAGTGTGTTAAGTGAGGCTGAAAGTGTTGTGACACAGCATTGCTCTTATGTTGACATTGTTTTATTGAGTTTCTTTGTTGCTTCATTATAAGTTGGCATAACTGGCAAAGTATTAATGTATCGTTAGCAAGCACAGCTTTAGCATTTACTTCAAAGCTAACGTTGCTACAGGTATGAAACAAATCTTGAGAGTTAAATCTATAAAGAAGCTTTAAATTTCCTGACATTTTAGTAGAGGTGAATTTGAACATTTGCAGGAAACTTAACAGCTGGCTGAATTGTCTCAGGAGTGTGCAGTCGAGTAACCTGAGAATAAAACCTATTTCATTTCTAAATTCCACCTATAATGGTGGAATTTAAGAATAAAACAATTGAAAGAAGAGGAATAATTCAATTTCTATTAAATCTGCAAAATCTGAGGGTTTTTTTGAAGACGCCTTTAGCAGCTTTTTTCTTTTTTAAAAAGTGCTGTGTGACAGATCTGGAACTATGTCTAGACCTCAGTACCTCAGCCTGAACTTTTTCTTTTAGCGCCACCATGAGCTGGCATTTGTTGTTTTTAGTAAAATGTCAGCAGTCAAACTGCTGTGAAATTTGACACGAATTTGTCGTGAGGATATTCCCCTCACGATAAATTGTAATCACTTTGGTAATCCCCTTACTCCTCACCATCTGGTCAAAGTCTCAATTTGTCCAGCACTAAATTTTGTCCGTCAGCCTCTGCTGTACTATGCCTTTTGTGCTAATTAACAGATGTTGGCATAATAAAACTATGATGGTGAACATGGTAAACATTATCCCCAGTAATGGAAAGTAACTAAGTACATCTACTCAACTACTGCACTTAATTACATGCTGTCATCTGTATTTAGCACGAAACACCTTTGCTGTGCCAAACCACAGGAAATGAGGCACTAGCATGGCTTGTTTATTTAAAGAAGTGGAGATTTCATCGCTAGTAGCCGTATGAAGAAATGTTTTTATGACCGTGTACCATGGATGTATTTGTTAACGTGGGCTGTGTGCAAAATCAATATTGTGTTATTCAGCTTTGCGCATTTTTTGTGAAAACGGAAGTTCAACATGTTTGTTAGATTTCAAGGACACACAGAATGCGTTCTGGCAAGAAACAAGGAACATAAACATAATTTGTTTACAAGAAAACTCCACAGAGTCTTGAACAAAGTGAACTGTGCAGCGACATAAACACATTAGCTACAGTCAACAGAACTCTGATTTACTGCCGTGCATCTGACACCTAAATGTCTCTTTTTAAGCATTAAAAAAAATGAAGACAAGAGAGGTAGACAGGTGATTGTTGTTGTTTTTTTGGTCTAACCATCAAGGAGAACGCTGCAGGTGTTCAAGATCATGACCTCAAAGCAAGTAAAGAAGAGTTTGAGTGTAAATAGTTGAGATTTATTGTTTTCCCACTGAGTATTCAGTCGGCCCCCTGGGAGCAAACAATCTGGCCCTCCAAATAATTTGACTTTCAGACCAAACCCTCTGACCATTAAAAACTGTATTTGAATCTGTGTGTATGTGTGTGTCCGACAGAGACCCCCCTGTCCCTGGCGGTGCAGTGTGAGCCGGGTGGAGGTGAGGCCATCCGGGTCCTGGTGGAGGGAGGGGCTCACATTGACTTCCGCGCCAAAGATGGACTCACACCGTTACACAAAGCTGTGCGAGGCCACCGCCATACGGCCCTGCTGGTAAACATTCACACACGTTCTTGTTCTTTTTCAAAAATGCAGTTATCTAATCACAAGTAATGTGTTTTCATTGCCATGCCATAAAAGGAGAAAATCCAACCTACACCAGCGTATGTATCTGCAAGATGGATACCTGCCCTGAAACTGATGCAGTCTCCAGTCTTCATTTGTGTTACTGTATAAGTAAACAAGCTGAGGACAGAATAAACAGACCCTCCCACGCAGCAATCCACACCCACCCACACACAAAATGCACAGAAAAATCCTTCTTTTTATTCAACCAGAGAGAAAAAATAACATTAAAATTCAGATTGCCTGGTTTAAAGGTGTTAGCACATTTACATTTTAGGCATTTGTCCAGAACTTCAGCTCCCAAATCGCTAAGAAGATGGTACCTGTAGAGCAGAGAACTCATTCAGGGGGAGATAATTGCATGTGTTACATTGTCCATGTTTCCCACAAAGGAAAGAAACAGCTGCTAAACCACATGGAGATTCACTGCAGACTCTGATTGAATATATAATGCTCTCCAGCCTGAGGTTTTGATGACCTCTCTGAACCCCTGGCTATGTGCTCCCAAGCTGATTTTAAATTCCATGAATATTCTTCAACTTGAAGTTGGAAACCACCATAAGATATTTTTCTTTGCTGCCTATTTTGTAATATTATCTGCTAATAAAAGTCTTGACTATTTTACCGCATAGTAATAATTGCAAACTTTACTGTTGTCATTGTTGCCAGTACTTGAGAATGGCCTGTACATCAGGTTTATCTTCTGTGCTGTGTCTTTCTGCAGGTCCTGCTGTCTCTGGGTGCCTCTCCAGACTATAAGGACCGGCGAGGGCTGACACCGCTCTACCACACTGTGCTGACAGGGGGGGACACCTCCTGCTGCGAAACACTGCTTTTCCACCGCGCCAAACTGGGCATCAGGGACGAGAACGGCTGGGACGAGACACATCAGGTACGAGTGGGTGCATTATTGGGCCCCTTAAGATTTCAGGGATCTTTGAATGGAATTTCCAGAGATTTTAGATTAATGCAAATACAGAAAGTGTTTAAAGACAGGTTTCATTCTGTTGTGTATAATCCCCCATATTCTGTGTATGCAGTTAATTCTATACTTAATACTAAACAGCAAAACCTTTTTGGGGGGGATGCTTTGGGCAAAATCTTTCAATCTAATGGGGTCAGTGTCCTAATTTGTGTCTATTTGGGGGATTTGGTCTGACAGCACCAGAAAAAAAGTCCTGCCTGGAGGTGTTAGTTTCAGGTTCTGTTGTTTGTCTTGCACAAGTGTGCATCCTATTTGTAATGCACCAGTGTACTCTGTGTTCCAGTGTCTGCGTATGTACAGCATCTGTGTCTACGTCAAAAACCATTCATGCCATGAAACACTGCACCTCTCATCTTTTATCTCGGACACCTTTCACCCTTCATCCCACCCACCCTGCTTCTGTGGCCTTATATTCCAGCAGTGAAGTGGACAGGAAAATAAAAGGTATCAGCCTCTTTGTCTCAGTGCGATCACACACACTTCATCGGCATCTGTCTCCTCAGCTGTCCTCGTGGCCTCCATCTTATTTTGTCTGTGTGTGTTGAGCGGGATTTGACTCTAGGCCTAAATATATATATTTTTTATTAGATCCACCAGAAGCCTGCATTTTCTTTACTGAAAATCAGTATTTTTAAATTTGGATTTTCCCATGGCCCCCTAAAATAGAAATATTCAGTGTTTGAATGAGTTGTATTTGGCAGGTTTGAATCAGCCTTGAGGCCCTGTTGAGTTTTTTCAGATTCATTTGAACATACTGCATATAATACTGAAGCAGCCAGTCATTTGTAGGCTACTAATGTTAATGATATTGCACTTCAAGGACTACGTTTACATGCACAGAATATTCAGGCTTTTGCCCGTATTCTGAAAAAGACAATATTCCTATTAAGTTGTTAACATGACTAATGAAAATGAATTTTCTACTAATACTCCCTTTTACATGCAGCCGTGCATACTCCGATTAACATGCCCAAACATGTCTTTTATCGCGTCAAAATATGGAAGATATAAGCTGTTGATATCTAAGTCTTTCATAATGTTCAACAGTTGGTGTGTTTCTCCTTCCAACCAGAAAAATGGGCTTTTTTGGGGGCATGCATCTCTATCCCAGCCTTGCAAACAGTTTGGCTGGCTGGTTTATGTACAACATATCCATGACAACTCACAGAGCTGACTGTAAACAGGCCACAGGGTGTGTGTCGCAAACTGCAGTAAAAACCCCAAAGAGACACATCTTCCAAATGTGCTGAGTCCAAAGAATGCTATTAAAATCCAAATTATAGCGGCATATTCCATGTTTTAGTCAGAGAGTACCTCATTTGTAAAAAGGCAGAGGATCGGAATATTGTAGTCCAACAGTGAGTTAACTGGTAACTCGGCATGAAACAGAAGTAGTGTTGCTATGATAACCTGCAGTGTAATATCTATTCCCCACAGAATTGATTTACATCTATTGTTAAGTTATTGGCCTAAAATAAGTTCAAAGTCTCCTGATGTGTGATTGCAGTGGAAGGCTGCCAGCTATTCTGAAATCAGCATTTAATGTAGCCATGGAATAAATGATAATAAGTCACCTATGACTCAGTAATAATAACATGTAAAGGGTTTGATTTCCAGTGAATGATGTTGCTGTAGGTGTGTGTCCATATGATGATATATGTACAATTACTGTTGTTATTGGATCTCACTTCTGCTCTCTCTGTTTTCTCGCCCCCTGAGTTTGGAGGTGGTGTTAATTAAATGTGGTGTCACTTAATAACTGTCACCTTGTTCCTCTCCCTGTGTCACTGTCTGTTCTTCATCCTTGTTTGTCTCTCCGCCTCTCTGTTCTCTTTATTAAACAACCACATGAATTCCTCCTTTTCTTTACTCTCCGGTACATCTTGTATTTTCGCCTCCTTGACAAACTCTACCTGCCCTCTCTCTGGCCCTCTCCATCGCTCCGCCACAATCTGTTTGTCCTCTCTCAGGCCTGTCAGAATGGTAACTCGCAGCATCTGGAGCACCTCCTCTTCTACGGTGCGGATTCTTCCTCCCAGAATGCCTCTGGAAACACTGCCTTGCACATCTGTGCTTTATACAACAAGGTAGACACTCTTTTCAGAGAGATGAAATGTCAGCTTCTATAGAGCACATGCTTTAAGTGGGTTAAGCATCCTGAACCTTGAAACACCTCCAATCCTGAATTCCAATTGAAATATGTCTCTTCTGCATATTTTTTTTTTACCTAAAGATAAAGTATGAATGATGTTGTATATTATAAACTTCTTGTCAACAAACAGGTTTATGATTTTGACAGCTTTTAATTTTTACATAACTTTCTTTCGTTTTTCTTTTAAAGGGACAGTTCACCCCCAAATCAAAAATGCATATTTTACCTCTTACATTTAGTGCTAATAACCTATCTAGATTGTTTTGGTGTGAGTTGCCGAGTGTTGGAGATATCGGCTGTAGAGATGTCTGTCTTCTTTTGAATATAACGTAACTAGAGGGCACTGGGCACTTAATGCTCAAAGTGCCAAAAAAATTAAATACAAAAACTCAACAGCAATGTTTCTTTCCAGAAGTCATGACCTGGTTACTCAAGATAATCCACAGACCTTGTTGTGAGCAGTTTCATGTAGAAACTGTTTTCTTTCTACTGAACTGCACCTGCCAACCATATTACCATGCAGAAGGAAGCTTGCATCTACTGCTAGCTCACATAGCACCACTGAGCTAGCTAACATTACAGTCCAGCTGAGGAGGATTTCATTAATATTTGCATCTCATATTGTCACGACCATGGCCTCTCATCCATGAGTAGATGCACGCTTCCGTCTGTGCAGTGATGCGATTGGTGGGTGTGGCATGTTTCATAGAATATTTAATATTCAACACATTTGCATTAACATTAAAGCACAAGGAAATGCACATTAAGTCAAAAGAAGAATGTGCTTCCTAAAAGCATTGCATACATAATAACAGATTACATGCGTTTCTACATTACGCAGTGATTACATAATTTATATTTTACCATCAATGTACATTAATCAGTGTTATTTGTTGCAGGAAAGCTGTTCACGAATTCTGCTCTACCGGGGAGCAAATAAAGACGTGAAGAACAACAATGGTCAGACCCCCTTTCAGGTAATGGCTGAGTGCCTGGCTGGGTAATTATGCATGTTGGGTGGTTGTATGGTTTAGTGTCTTATTAAGTTAACGTAGCAGAAAGTGCCAGGGCCTATTTCACTTTAAACCATTATTGTGCTGTGATGCACACACAGAGGTCCCAGGTGGCAGGGTTGCGTGTGACCCCTTAATCTGGATATATTAACTCTGTCAGTGCAGAAAAAGCCAGCTGAGACAATCTGTTGTGTTTGTGTGCGTGCGAGAGAGAAAATGAGAGGAGACAACAGGGAGACAGCATTGAAATTGGCCAGATTGTGTGCTGACCTGTGTAGTTTATTAAAAAAAAAAAGGTCAAAAGCATTTGTGCAACGGTGGAAAGAATACAAAAATTTGGTCTCAATATGTTTTGGCTGTATTATTCTTTATCAAGGCGACAGCAAATCTACATCCAGTGTAAATTTAATTTTATGCATGCCACAGCCACTCTTGATTTTGATCACTTGTGAATTTGCCCACTAGAGGTGCAAATATAGAGCACCTACAAAGTGGGGCCATTTTGAAAATACGGAAGAATATCCTGTTAGTAAAAGCACCCATAACGCTAGCTTCTTTAATTACAAGAGAAAAAGCAAACTGTTTTTTCCACCCTTACATTTCGTGCATTTATTTGCCATATAACTGCATCCAAAACGAGTATATGTGTGTTTTTATCAGGTGGCTGTCGTGTCTGGCCATTTTGAGCTGGGAGAAATTATCAAAAACCACAGGGATACAGATGTGGGTAAGTAGCTGAGGTCTGTTCTGAAATTTGCATGCCAGTTTGGAGATTTAAACATCCCATAATGTCAGACATTTTGTTAACCTAAGAAAGCAGCGATGAAAAAAACAAGAGTGTAAGGAATATATTTTAGCAGCATTTAGAACTCAACAGCATGTTGGAATTGAAATGATAAAGAAAAACAGTTTGTATGTAAATCATGATGATGTAAAATAAGTGACAAAGTAAACTGATGTTATGCTCACCTGTGTTCTCTTACTCTTTCCTGCCTCCTCTCACCTTCCAGTTCCTTTTGTGGAGTCTCCAAAGTATGCCCCCCAGAGGCGGGAGAGCGCCCGAACACTGGCGATACCCCACCCTCATCCCTTCCTCCGGGCCAACAGTGACAGCAGCATGAACCTGCCAGACTGGATGGCGGTGCCGAACGCCCCGGGGACCAACATCGTCTCTGTTCAGGTGTGTGTGTGTGTGTGTGTGTGTGTGTGTGTGTGTGTGTGTGTCTCTGAAAAATGAGGTTCAAAGTTAAAATTCTTTACACTGGAAACAGCACAACATAATCTCAGTCCATTTATTAGCTGTTCTAGAGCTTTCAACTGAATCACACAGTCCTTGTGGGCAGATTGAATTAAGTAAGTTACCATGGAAATGTACATCTTAAAACCATCCATGATCCCGAGCACGTCCAGAACTTCTCACCCATGTTGACCATGGACAAAACAACCTCACCTCAAGGTCCATTTCATAAATGTTCTGGAACTTTTGACCTCTCAAAAGACTTCAGAGTGACTCCCCAATCACCACCTACACACATATTGATTGTGGTACAAATAACTTACATAATGTTGTAGATTTTAACTCTTATGTTTAAACTGCTGTAGAGTTTGATTGACTTCTTCAGAAGTCATCTAAAGAAAGTACTGAATGTTTTTTACTAACTTGCATTTCAGTATAATTGACCTTTAACCTGACAGCTTGGAGAAATGGTTAATACCCAGGTAATGAATATTTCCATTGCACAGGTGGAGGCTTGAGCAGCTACAACCCAATAATTCATATACAAATTATACAATTAGGAGGGACATTAAACAGTGTAATGGATGATCTTTATCAACCTCTAGTGGTGAACAGAACTCATTGCAGCAACTTATATCTTTTTTCACAAAAGCCATCCATGTACATGTATTTCACTTAGCATCTGATAGATGAGTGATCATGATGAGTGATACCCCATAAACAAGCATCATGGAATAAAACTATCATTACTATCATTTTACAAATGTTTCTGTTAACATGATGAGTATAAAAATCAATGGCATTAGGTGAGTTTTTGTAGCTACGGAAATCAGAAAAAATATGAAATTGTCACATTAACGTAGTAAAAGACACAGTAGTTAAAAATAAATGAATAGCACAATAGAAAATCCCCTCATGTTAGTTAAACTAGTTATCAAATTTCAAATAATGGTAATACAGTATCATTCACAGAATATTGTATGCAGCTACAATATTATGAAATGATCATACACATGGATATAAATTTAAAAATGAATATATATATTCTGTGGTCATAAACATCTTTAATGAAATGACATATGTCTCTCTCAGGGCTACAAGCATACAGGAACCCTTCGGAGCTCCAGCAGTCCCAGAGGGGCGAGGACGCGTTCCCCGTCCCGAGGAAGGATTGGAGACAAGGAGGACCGGAGCAGGCAGAGTCGGAGACAGGGGTGAGTGGCAAAGGCTGACATCTAGGAGCAAGATGCTGCTGCTCAAGAATCTCTCTTCCACTTTACTAATTGCAGTCGGTAAATCTGGGCTGGTTAAAGTACTTTTGAGACCTTCTATTGAATGTCTGCAGGTTCCAAAAGAGACCTTATAATGTTTTTAAGTGAATTACCTGGGTATGAAATGTTTAAGTTTTAGTCATATGGTTTCTTTAGTCTCCAAATGTTTTTGTGTTGCAATAGGTAATTAGATTAAGATTTCTCTGAAACAAAACACAAAAATCTCTGTCTGACTTAGAATAAGTTATATTATTACCTCTGTTACACTCACAGTTTCTCACATTGATGGATGTTGGATGTGTATTGTCTTGTTTTATGTGATGTATACTAGCTGTTCTGATGTTTTTTGTTTTTTTTTGTCTACCTGCTCAGGGACGGCAGATGCAAATTAGCTGCTAGCTAACTCTGTTGCAATTACTTTTTAATTGTGCACTGTCCCTGCAAATATAAACAGTAAAATTAAATAGATCAAATAAGGATAATACAATATCTGTTAAGTGAGTTTACAGACCTACAAAGGTCATCGATTAAACCTTTAAAACGTGACCTAATACAGAACCCTAAAATGTTCAGACAAATTTTTGGAGAACTCACTGACCAGTGTTGTAGTACTCCAGGTTAGTCTCAAGATCGCTTTTTGAAGGTGTCAGTCTTGTCTTGGACTCAGCCGCATTTTTACTCAGTCATGTCTTGGTCTCAGACAAAGAGGACTCTGGATTTTATTTCAAGACTGGTCGTGACCACAAGCGCAGGGATTTAACTAAATTGCCTGTGCAAAAAAGGAGTGTTGTGTTAAAGGGATAGTGCGCCCAAAAATGAAAATTCTGCCATTATCTACTCACCCATATGCCGATGGAGGCTCAGGTGAAGTTTTAGAGTCCTCACAACACTTGTGGAGATCCCAGGGTAGAGGGGGTAGCAACACAACTCCACCTAATGGAGGCTTACGGCGCCCCAGATTCAAACGTCCAAAAACACATAATTGAAACCACAAAATATCTCCATACTGCTCAGGACACTTGGATCATTACGGACGAGCAGTATGGAGATATTTTGTGGTTTCAATTATGTGTTTTTGGACGTTCGAATCTGGGGCGCCGTAAGCCTCCATTAGGTGGAGTTGTGTTGCTACCCCCTCTCCCCTGGGATCACCGCAAGTGTTGTGAGGACTCTAAAACTTCACCTGAGCCTCCATCGGCATATGGGTGAGTAGATAATGGCAGAATTTTCATTTTTGGATGCACTATTCCTTTAAGATGGTTAAGTTGCTTTCACCCTCTTAGTGTTTTGTGTATTTGTTCGCTCATAGAAAACAAAGCAAAATTCCCACACACAAAATTCACCTCTGCAATGCCTTATAATTATTTTTTCAAATCATTTCTCTAGTGCACTTTTCCACACATACATACATATACGCAATTTGCATTCAAAGAGATACATCAAGATGAATCTTTATTTTATGGAATTGTGGATCTTTCAGATCAATTTGAGGAGTACTTATGGTTTTCATGTTCCACATTTTTTTGTAAGACATTCATGCAGTGTGGGACTCACACTGAACTGGTCTTGGTCTAAACTCGGTCTCGATACACACTGGTCTTGGTCATGACTTGGTTTAGGTTGTCTTGGCTGTAACGTTTTGTCTGACAAAGTCTTCAAAATCCTCAAATTTCCAGTCTGTAGTAGCCTGCTTGCCAGAGACTTTCCCTTTCTCTCTCTCAAACACAAACAAACAAACAAACAATAGTAGTTATGGCATTCAGTAATTTAGCCAGCCATGCCTATAGGAAGCTTTGATTTTTAAACTTCAGTCTCATATGATTTACTCTACCTTCTGCTGTCTCCCACCCAGACCTGCCCTCACCAGCACAACTGGACAAACCGCAGGACAGCGGAGACGCCTCTACAGCGCTGTCCCAGGACGAGTCTTTGTAGCTACTCGATCACACTCTGCACAGGGAGAGCGAGAAATCAGCTTCAATAAGGGAGACAGGGTCAAAGGTGAGTATGTGCATTTTCATGTCATGATACACAGTGTGTGTGTGTGTGTGTGTGTGTGTATGCTTGAGCATAATACTGCATTTTGTCCTCCTCATGAATTCAAAGTGTCTGTCTGGTTGGGTGTCAGTGTTTGTGATGCTGTTTAGGCCTAGTGCTAATCTCCACATGAATCAGACAGGCATCTTTGATGTCCATACATATACTTGTTAAAGTGAACTAAATGCACACTCAAAAACGTAGATGTAAATGTAACAAAGGTTACACGTACAGAATCCCTCTTTGTTTGGGGCTTTGGCATGGACCCAGAAAGTTCCTAATAATATGTAAGCTGCTGACTGCAGGGTTTATCAGTTCCAGAGTTGAGGTTTCATTAGCAGCTCTTAGGCTAACACCATTAAGCTAACTGATGAAATATTTTAGACCCAAAGTGAGATACTGCATCACAAGAGGATTTTCTTTATCTACATGACATGAACTACACTGACAAATATCCACTGACCACAGCACTATAGCTAATAGTATCATCCAAAATAGACACAGCCTATTTATGCCATTGACTTATTGAGGTGTTATGGCTAACGTCTTGCCTACTTACACATCCAGAGACACAGGGCATAGGATGTCATGTGAGCATTCCATTGACGTTTTATTTATAGCCACCTGACTCATGTAAGTGCAATACTCACTCTCCTTTAAGCTCTGGTACAGCTTTTCTGTGTTTCATTTCTCAAGTTATATGGGGATGTGGCTCGTAACCATCCGCGACAAGTTCAGACCAGGAAACCAAAACAGTAAAAGTGGTCTAAAGCTGTGTTGGGATGCAGTTCCAGACTCTCTCAAGCCTGGAGATGTTAAGAGCATTCCCACCAAAAAACTACATATGGATGGACTTCCAGTGTACAAAGATTAATCAAGAGTTCGTCATACTAGAAATTCACTTTTTTGCTGAGAGTTTAGTGAGAAGAATATTACCCTCCGACATGAGAGTGGTATCAATCCTCTCAAGTCACTCCCAGCAAGAAAACAAATAAACACATTTCCCAAAATGTCAAACTATTACTCTAAGGATCTCTTGAGAAAACAGTGACTTGACTCGCATTGAGAAACAACACCAAAAATATTACTTTCATTTTTTTTTATTTACTCAAGCCTGACAGGAGATGCACGTTAAAGGGGCAGTTCATCCCCAGATAAATTGCTCTTTCTCAATCTAGATTGTTTTGGTGTGAGTTGCCGAGTGTAGATATTGGCTGTAGAGATGTCTGCCCTCTCTCGAACATAGTACAACTAGATGGCCCAGGACTTGTAGTGCTCAAAAAGAAAAACATTTGAAAAACTCAACAGCAATGTCTCTTTCTAGAAATCATAATCTAGTTACTCAACAATCCACAGACTCTGTTGTGAGAAGTTTCATTTAGGAACCATTTTGTTTTTACTGAGCTACGCCTGCCAGCTGTATCACCATGCAGAGGAAGGCGCGCATCTACTGAGCTGGCTAATGTTACAGCTCAGTCATTAAAGTTTACATCTCATGCTGTCACAAGCATGAGCCTCTCATCCATGAGTAGATGCACGCTTCCTACGGTGACACAGTTGCTGGATGAAAATAGTTCCTACATGAAACTGCTCACAACAAGGTCTGTGGATTATCTTTGGTAACCAGGTCATGATTTCTAGAAAGAGACATCACTGTTGAGTTTGTCAAATATATTTTTGGCGCTTTGAGCACCACAAGCCGAGTTCCATCTAATTACATTATATTTGAGAGAAGGCAGTGATTTCTATGGCTGATATCTCAAATACTTGGCAACTCACACCAAAAAAATCTAGATTGATAAATAGCACTTCAGGTAAGAGGAAAAATGTGTGTTTTTGATTTTGGAGTGAACTGTTCCTTTAACATCAGGCGTAAAGAGGGTCCTATCATCCTCAGAGACAGATCAGCACCCAGGCCAGTTCCAAGTGTCTTCAGATGAGTTTGTAAAATGGCCATGTCCTAACATGAGTGTAAGGTCTCTATATATGTTTGTATTCAATGTCTGCAGGTATGAATATGTGTGTGTTTGTGAGTGAGTCTAAGGTGTCGCCAGGTATGTATGTCTTGGTGAGTATGTAGGAGGTTTGCATGTCCGTCTATGTCTGTCTGCATTATTTTTTTCTGTCTGTATAATGTTGTCTTTTTGCGTGGGTTCATTTCTCATTGGTATCTGTATGTGTGAGTGTGTGCGTTAGTGCATGTTGTGTTGCCTTTTCCTGATATGCTGCTCTTTCCTGCCCCCCCTCTAGTGTTGAGTGTTGGCGAGGGTGGGTACTGGGAGGGGACGGTCAGGGGTCGCACAGGCTGGTTCCCCTCTGACTGTGTGGAGGAAGTGATGCTTCGAAGCCAAGAGAACCGATCAGGTGATCACCATTAGTCATGTCCACTCTCACACACAGTACATTTGCAGTACATTTAGCATTACAAGCATCAGGTCTGTATAAACAAAATAATAGAATTTTACTTATTGATTAATCTATCAATTATTACCTTGATTGATTGATTGTTTCCAGTGATAAAATTGCTAAAAAATAATTAAAATGCCCATCACAACTTCTCCAAGTTCAGATCTTCAAATTTCTTGTTTTGTGCCACCCACAATCAAAAACACAGAGCTGTTTAATTTATGATGACATAAAATAAAGGGAAAAAAGGCCAAATCCTAACATGTGAGACAATAAAACAAGCTAATATTTGGATTTTTTTGACAAATGTTTCAAGCTATTAATCCATTAATTTTGTGAAGTGACTTTATATTAGTCAAGTGAGTCTTTGTTTAAGCAGTCCCTCCAGGATTTTGTGGGCATTTTTTGTGATTTTTGCAGCCTATAACAGATTTGAAACAGCTTTCCGAAAAAATTGCAGGGACTACTGAATACTGCAAAAATAGTTGCGATGCTATGATCGATTGGGAGCATATTATTATGAGCTCCCAGTGTCTCTCACAGAATTAGAATCTATTTGTAATGGTTCGGTGGCAGCGCTGAAAGACTGTCCCTGTGAAACACTCTCCTCCTGCCCAGATAGCATGAGCTAACACAGCACAATGTGACCTCATCGCTACTCATCATATTTTGCCACTTTGGCGGCAGCTAACATCGACCATCGTTAATGTCACATTGACAGCAAAACGGCTCAACTGTCATTAAACTTGTTAATAACTATTGGGTAGTGTTAGCTGTGTGATTTTAACAGACCTGTCACTGTGTGTCTGTGACTCCAGGCACAGAGCTCAGATCCTGCACCAGCAGCCTCATGATAAACAGGGCTGAGCTAATCAATACACTCTGCGCAGCTCTATAATGAAATGAGACTTTATCCCTTTTAAATAGTCAAATTTGTGCAAAGTTGCAGTGATTTGACAAAATTGCAAGGTCACGCAGAATTAAAGATGATTTGTGTATTGTGACTTTTGAGTTAATAGTTGCGATCACAACATTGCAAAACCCTAAAGGGCCTAATCAATGTGCAATTTAGTCTAAGGTTTAGATTACAGGTCTGGTTTCAGTTGATTTTGATCAGTAGCTCAAATGTCTTGTAACCGAAAAAAGTCACCTGTAAAAAGAAGATATTATAATAAATTCCAGTATATTAGTAATGATAATACAGTAACTGAACAGTACGTGCTGTATAATAAGCCTTGCAAATAGATTTAATGCAGGTGCAACCATGCTGATGTCCCTGTGGTTTTGTGTTTCAGAGAGCCGTGGAGAACGAGCCAAAAGGCTGTTCCGCCATTACACTGTGGGATCCTACGACAGCTTTGACGCTCCCAGGTAAGAGTTACCTTGCCGCTAGCTGTCACTGATGTACAGCAAACTGAACACATGCCAGTTTTATCCAAAGACACAGAGGCCTGCACAGATTCTCTAAGCAGCAGGGGCAAAAAGGAAAAAGGGGCTGCGCTTCAGCTCGCAGGGTTAGGGGTTGGGTTCATTTAGGGTAAGGTCACACCAGAGTCGTACTTCACCTGCCAGAGGAGCTGAACACAAGGGCGCTTCGGGCCACTTGGGTTGACAAAAGAGGCATTTGGATGCTTCAGTGCCTGTGTGGTGTGACATTAGGACCTGAATGAAGCATGAAAGTATGCCATTATGACACCGACACATCCTGGTTACATAAAGGTTAAGAGAAGGGCAGCTTGACATTCAGATTATTGCTCCACCTGAGAGTCAGTAAGAACTACCACTGTTTTCTATCATCAGCCACAGAGCAGCTCTGCTGAGGCAAGAAGGGGTTCAGTGCCTTTGCTAAAGAGCATGATGTATCTTGTCCATCCGCCCAGTGGGTAATCCAAATCAAACTGACAACCTTTTCATCACGACCCCTGCTGCTCCAATGTTTTGACACACAGCACATGTTGAGAGTGGATTTGTTTGTATGCTAACATACTGTATACATCTACCCAGATAAGATGATTCATGTGGTGAATGATTCATACGTTCCAGCGGTACTTTGATTTGTGTGATGTGATGTGTTGCAAGTGATTCATGCGGTGGGATGACGATGTGTGAGGGTTCACTGCCTCAGGTCGTGAAGCTGATCCGCCTGCTTTCATGCTGGAGTCATCCTCGAGGCACAGGTTTACCAGCCATGTTTTGACTAGCTGGTTTTGCGGAGTTTAACCTGGGCAGACAGGCAGATTTTTTTGTCATATCAGGATTTTAGAGTAACTTCCTTCTCTTGTATGTCAGTCTTTTGGCTCTTGAGGTGCAAAGCTGCATTGCCGGGCTGCAATTTTTAGGTGGGCTGAACTTGGCGGTGATTGTGAAGGTGTTTTCAGACCACTCTGATGACTAAGTCTGTAGTTTCTTTGTGTCGACTGACTGTTATATAATCATTACTGTCCTTGATGACCAAACTATCTGAACTGAAGCATATGTAATGTGCCATGGGACTAACTGTAAATAATCTTAAAACAGCAGCTAAGATCTTTAACTTTTGATAGAAGGTCATTCTTGCACCTACTGCAACTTCATCAGCATGAAAACATTTGCAGAAAATCATTCCTATTCAGCTTTTTCAGCATACACCAGAAACTTCTCTGGATTCTCTGTGGAGGTGATCTGTTGACACATGAGTGGGGAAAACTCTCCTGTATTGACTTTGGGAGTGTGACTTCTCCTCATTAACGCAGCCTAACATAATGTCATTCCCTTTAATGCCTTGCATCTGCATCATGGCGAGCACAGCGTCGCTTTGAGGCAAACTCATTTCAGTGTCCATGACTTGGACTGAGCAAAGAGAGCATTATTTACATAGAAATAAAGCCATTATCAATCGCATGTATTATTTACACGAAATCCCGCCTTATGCCTCTCTTTTTCCCTCCCTTTTTTCCGTTCGCTCACTCATCATCATTCTTTATCATCCCTCAACTTCCTCTCTCAGGCTTGCATTTTTTTCTTTTCATGTTTTCCTTTCTCTTTATCTCCCTCTGTATCTGTTTCTGTCTCACAAATGCACACAGTATCATTTATTATTAACATGCTTTTCATCAACAGTGACATTTAATGTAAACAACGCACTCAGCCATGCCAACTCACACACATATGTTTGTGCACACACGCTAACACACACATCATGGATAATTAAAGCCGTGTACTGCAGTATAGAGCCTGAGACTATTTGTTTGGCCAGGCAGGCAGGCAGGCATGGCTGACTCAGAACCGCCCTCACATAGGCCTACTTTCCCAGTCTTTATCACTACATGTAATATCTCACCTATCCCTCCTTTCATCCCTCTATATTTGGCCACATCTCCTGACCATCTAAGCATCTCTCCTTCGCTTTCTATTCATCACTATATTGCTAACCCCCCTGTACTTTTTAATTTTCTTTCTATCACCCTCTCTCCCCTGTGGTGTCTCCATCTGGAGGTCAGACAGTGAAGGGCACTCTAAAGGGAGAAGAGGGTTGGAGAGAAGGATGAAGAAGTTGGATGAAGGAAGAAGGGCACTCTGTGTTTATAAATGGGTGAAAAGAGACATATGCATTGTTTTTTTGTGTATGCAAGCAACAGGGGGGCAACACAGGTTAGTAAAAAGCATGAAGGGGGATGCCCTCTGCCATGTTTTCACTTTTTTCATTCTGACTGCCAAAACAAGGCTGATATGAATATTTCAAGGCTCATACCATTATGGTTGGCTAAATTATGATACCAGTACCAATACCAGTATAGCCATTAAGTAATACTGACACCAACAAAGTACTTCATTTTATACCTTTCATTCTGGAAAACATACCGAAAACATAAATCCTCCTGCCACGCCTGTCCCTGGCACAGAGGGACAGGCGTGGCAGGAGGATTTATGTTTTCGGGTTGTCCATCCATACATCTTAAGAACACCTTGAGGGAATTTTTCAGATTTGGTACAAATGACATTTATCAACTTGGACTCGATGATGAACTGATTAGACTGTGGTAGTCAAAGGTCAAGGTCACTGCCATCTCGTCTGCCTCATTCTTGCAAACGGGATATCTTAATAACACCGAATTTTTTCAAATTTGGCACAAATGTCCAGTTGGACTCAACAATGAACTGATTAGCTTTTGGTAGTCAAAGGTCAAGGTCACTGTGACCTCACAAAACATGTTTTTGGCCATAACTCAAGAATTCTTATGCTAATTCTAACAAAATTTCACACAAATGTCTAATAGGATAAGATGATGAAGTGATGACATTTTATATCTAAAATGTCAAAGGTCAACTTCACTATGACATCATAATGTTCCGCAAAAACACTTTTCTGGCCATCATTCAACATCATATTTCAGAAACAAAAGGGGAGACATTTGGTCAGATACTGAATTGGTGACACTAGTCTTGAGTGTCCATCTTGAAACTGTGCTGATTGTCTAGATCTTCTTTGCTGCTGGGGGAAGATGTGTGTGAGGCATCCATGTTTTCATAGGCATGGATGTAAACTGTGAGTGCAACGTGACTGGCTCTTGGAGGCATACAATGGTGAAGTGGTAATCCTAGTTTATCTACCCTTCATGTGAATGGAAGTGTTCAGTTGTGCAAAATGCCAGTAGACACCACAGGTGTGCAGTATAGTCATAATTTCAAATGTTTTGGTGGCATTTCAGCATGCTGAATTGCCAACTCTTTCAGATACACTGCACTCAACTTTACCCCACCACAGACTGTAGGGGTCGTAGCTGCTATCATAGAGGGCCAGTCATGACACTTGCCGTGATTGGCTGTAAACAAAACCATACAAACTGTTATTTTTTCTAGATCTGGATACAAAAAAGACACTCTACATTTTGCCCTACATTTGATGATGCTGATTATTTTTCAGCTGTAACCAACAGCTCTATAGCTCTCTTTGTTGGTTGGTTGGTCAGTCCACAAAACTTTCCCCACCCTGACGGCACAGTTTTTGCCCTAAGAGGCTGAAATTTTGCATGGAGGTTACAAATTGTGAATTCTGGCTTGTTTTATAAAGGATGGCAGTGTTGGTCACTTGGCCCACCACTTTGGTCCAGAATGAAATGTATCAAAAACTATTTAATGGATTGCCAATGTCAAATTTTGTACAGAAATCCTAATGATATCTGTGATCCCCTGACTTTTCATCTAATGCCATCAAACCAAAACTTGTATTTCTTCTTTTGAAAGTTAGTGTCGCTTCAAGTCCTGAAGCTGGTTATAGTTTCATTGGAAGAGTTCTGTAATGGACATGACTGACAAATGCCTCGTAGTAGCCCCACATGTTGGTCTGTCCCTAATAAACAGTCATCTTATGCGCCACTCTCTGATCCTCAGTTTCTGTCCCACCCACGACCCGTTATTGACAGCTGGATAAATTTTGCAGCCTTACTTTTACAGCACGGGACAAGCCGTGATAATATAACAAGGCGTGATAACCGAAACCCAGCAGTCAGTAAGATGAACTGCTCTAAGTTGATAATGTGGTGTGGAAATTACATTAAAATGAACACAAGCAGTGAGGGGTATGATGACTTGGGAACCAGCAGTGACAAATGACAAACAAATTAAGAATTTTTATATATGTCTGCCGTACCCCTCCATGTCAAATATATTTTTAATGACCCTGCATGTTTGCCGTCATCCTACTTTACATATTTTCTCCTGTCTACTCCTCCTGTAACCACGACAGACTTTTTTGTTACCCTTAAATGGCTGTATTGATAATTCACAACTTCTTTTTTTTTTACCGTGGTAAAGATCTTCAACAGCCAAATTCTGGTCAGTCAGTCAGAAGACACACTCTAATATTTGGGCGCTCTTGAATTAGAGGTTTGATTCTCTGCGTGAACCCATTGGACCTGACCTGACCCACCAAGCTTGGTCAAGACATCAGATCACCTTGTAGTCTGTGCAATGTAATTACCACACTTAACAGTCTTTATTTGACTTTATCTTGTAATACACGTTTTAATGTTAAATTTTTTGAGGGAGGGGCAGAAAATTGAGTTTTTAATGGGGCTTGGGCCCAAAACTGCTGCTGTGCTTCAGGCTCAGGTCAGACTTAGACAGAAACTACGTGGGTTCATGTAGGTTGGGCCTAATCATTTTTAGGCCTGATCATAGCTCTGTATCAAACTTCATCACAGTGAAAATGTTTTCTACAAATCTGGCCTTTTCTGAAAGCATTTGGTTGTTAAGAAATGGTTAACCTTTGCTGTTTTAGCAGCATGTGCTAGCTTACAAAACACTTGTAACATTACTGTTCTCAAAAAAAAAAAAAGGTAAAAAAGATATGGAATGAGAGCTGATCCGATCTGTGTCATTGCCACACATGC